TATTCAATGAAATCCTTATCAAAATAACACCAGCATTATTCACAGAACTAGAATAAACAATCCTAAAATTTGTATGGAACCACAAACCTGCATAGCCACATGCCTGCATACCCAAAGTAATGTTGAAAAAGAAAATCAAATCTGGAAGCATCAAAATCCTGGACTTTAACCTGTATTACAAAACTGTAACCATCAAAACATATGGTATTGGCACAAAAGCAGACACATAGATCAATGGAATAGAATAGAGAACCCAGAAATCGAACCATGAATATATGGCCAAATAATCTTTGACAAAGCAGGAAGGCGTATCCAATGGAATAAAGACAATCTCTTTAGCATATGGTGCTGAGAGAACTGGATAGCACATGCAGAAGAATTAAACTGACCACTTTCTTATACCACACACAAAAATGATTTCAAAATGGATGAAAGACCTAAATGTGGGACAGGAAACCATCAAAATCCTAGAGGAGAAAACAGGCAGCAACCTCTTTGACCTAGGCTGCAGGAACTTCTAACTTGACGTCTCCAGAGGCAAGGGAATTAAAATGAACTATTGGGACCTCATCAAGATAAAAGCTTCTGTACGGCAAAGGAAACAATCAACAAAACTAAAAGGCAGCCAATGGAATGGGAGAAGATATTTGCAAATGACATGTTGGATAAAGTGTTAGTATCCAAAAGCTATAAAGAACTTATCAACACCCCCCAAAAAAGTAATCCAGTGAAGAAATGGGCAGAAAACATGAATAAGCACTTTTCCAAAGAAGACCGCCAGATGGCAAACACATAAAAAGATGCTCAACATCACTCATTATCAGGGAAATACAAATCAAAACCACAATGAGATACCACCTCACACCGGTCAGAATGGCTAATATTAACAACTCAGGAAATGACAGATGTTGGCGAGGATGTAGAGAAAGGGGAACCCTTTTGTACTGTTGGTGGGAATGCAAACTGATGCAGCCACTCTGGAAAACAGTATGGGGTAGGTTCCTCAAAAAAATAAAAATAGGACTACCTTACAACCCAGCAATTGCACTCCTAGGAATTTATCCAAAGTATCCAAAAATGCTGATTCAAAGGGACACATGAACCCCAATGTTCATAGCAGCACTATCAACAATAGGCAAATTATAGAAAGAGCGCTAATATCCAGCAACTGATGAATGGATTAAGAAGATGTGGTATATACATACAATGGAATACTACTTGGTGATGAAAAAGAATGAATCTTGCCATTTGGAACACCATGGATGGAACCGGAGGGTGTTATGTTAAGCAAAATGAGCCAATCAGAGAAAGACAGAAACCATATGATTTCACTCATATATGGAGTTTCAGAAACCCAACAGATGAACACAGGGGAAGGGAAGGAAAAATCAGGTAAAAACAGAGAGAGAGGCAAACCATAAAAAGACTCTTAAATACAGAGAATAAACTGAGGGTTTTGGGAAGGAGGTGCATGGGGTAAATGGGTGATGGGTATTAAGGTGGGCACTTTTCGGGATGAGCACTGGTTGTCATATGTAAGAGATGAATCACTGGGTTCTACTCCTGAACCAAGACTGTACTGTAGGTTATCTAACTTGAAAATAGATTTAAAAAACAAAATTAAAAATAGAATATATTTGGTTGTTTTGTCAGTAGAAATTAAATGGTATAGACAAAAGCCTGGAATACCGAGGTCAGCAGACTTAGAAAAGCTGATTGCTTCTAACTCCCAAACAGTAAGAAATGGAAATTTAAAAGGCTTTGCGTGACAAACACTCAAGATGTTTCAGTTGATTATAATGAATCATGGAAAATATCTGATTAAATGTGTGTTCCTTTGTTCCAGCCAGCTTCAAGGAAATCACTATCACATTGAAAGAGAGCATGGGGGCAAGGAGACAGAAGACTATGTCTTACAAAAGCAATTGTAAGACTATATCTTAGAACAAATTCAAAGACTAAGTCTTACAAAAGAACACTGAGTAGGAATATTGGCAAATAGAACAACTGGGTGCCAATAGATTAGAAGCTTACCAATGTTTTGAGGGAAATGTATTGTCAAAGAAACCACAAGCTTGTGTAAAAATCCTAAATTCGTTAGTTAAGCCATAAAACAACCTCTGGCAGGAAGTTGCATAGGAAAAGCAGTCTTCCCAACTCCCTCTTTAGATGTAGCCAAGGCAAATAGGGTCCAGGAAGAAGCCCTCTGGAGGATGATGCCAAGGATCACAAAGGATAATAATGGAGGAGAGAGTCACTGCTCCAGGCTAGGCAGCCTTGATATCAAAGCATGGTATTTCAGCTTTGTAATACCAGTGTATCTGTGGAACGGTGACTACTGGCAGTCTCTCAGTGTTCCCCTTTCTGAATGGGTGTGCTTATTTGTTGACTGAAGTTATCCTATTCCTGATCCATTATTGCACATTTGTAGGTTGGCATAGGCATGCGGTGGACAACTTGCTTTCTTAGTTCCCAGGTCTTCAAGTCTAAGAGAAGTTTTATCTGTTCTTGATGGAGAGGACTATGAAATGCAGTGGCATGTTGGACTTTGCGTTGTCTTCCCTGAGGACCAGTTGAAGGCGTTTTCTTGTGGGAAAAAGGGAACAAACAAGTGTTGCATGACCAGAAGAAAATACTTTGGTGGAGACTGTTACTGCCCTCAAATGGGCTCCTCTAAAATTTTTTTAAAATGTTTATTTTTGAGAGAGAGAAGCAGACAGAGTGGGAGCAGGGGAGGGGCAGAGAGAGAGGGAGACACAGAATTCAAAGCAGGCTCCAGGCTCCAAGCTGTCAGCACAAAGCCCAATGTGGGGCTCAAACTCACAAATCATGAGATCATGACCTGAGCCGAAATCAGATGCTTAACTGACTGAGTCACCCAGGCGCCCCACCATGGACTCCTCTAAATTTCCCAGCCTGCAGTGTTGACCAGTAATTTTCTTTTCTTAATGTCTTTCTGATATCAAGGTATCAAGTTTTGCAAGCCTTATAAAAATGATTTTGGATGTTTCTCTTCCTCTATTCTCTGGATGCACTTGTTTAGATCAGTATTATTTGTACTTTAAATGTTTGTGAAGCTATTTGGGCCTGTCATTTTCTTTGTGGGAAGAGTTTTAATGTCAGATTCACTTTATGTGATAATGGTATTGGTATTTTAAAACTTCGTCTTTTGGTAAATTGAATTCTAGGGAACTTGTATATTTCACCTTAATCTTCCAATTTATTGGCATAAATATGGGCACATAGAGTGCTAATTTGTTTACATAAAGTTGTTTATTATATCCTCTCATGTATATCCTACTAATGCATATAAGATCCATAGTGATATCCTATTTTACTGCTACTTATTTTTGTTTAATGTTTATTTATTTTTGAGAGAAAGAGAGAGAGAGAGCAAGCAAGGGAGTGTGAGTGAGGGAGGGGCAGGGGGGGGGCAGGGGATTTGAAGTAGGTTCTGTGCTGACAGCAGAGAGCCTGATACAGGGTTTGAATTCAGGAAACAGGTGGCTCAGTCGGTTAAGCATCCGACTTCAGCTCAGGTCATGATCTCGCGGTCTGTGGGTTCAAGCTCTGTATCGGTCTCTGTGCTGACAGCTCAGAGCCTGGAGCCTGTTTCAGATTCTGTGTCTCCCTCTCCCTCTGCCCCTCCCCAGCTCGTGCTCTGTCTCAAAAATAAATAAACATTAAAAAATAAAAATAAATATTTGATTTTGGTATCTGTGTTCTCTTTTTCCCTATTATTCCCCTCTAGATTTGTTTTGCTAGAGGGTTATTAATTGTATTAATCCATTAAAGATTAAGATTTTACTCCATTGTGTGTCTTTTTAAAAAATCGATTTCTTCTCCTATCTTTTTGCCTCCTTTCTCCTTTTAGGGGGGGGTTAATTTGCCATTCTTTTTCTAGATTTGAGTTGGAATCTTAGATCGTTGGTTTTCAATCTTTCTTATTTTTTAATATATATATGTAAAGGTATATGTTTTCTTCTAGGCACTGCTTTAGTAGTGTTTCTGGCCACATCACCACCCTTCTCCCACACATCAAGTAGTGAGAGACTCCTAATAGTGGAAATGTAGGATTGAACCTGCTTGAATCTCTGAGTCATTATTTGGAGGAAAGCCATGAAGGAGAGCTACCTGACCTGCATTGGCTTGTGATATAAGCAAGAAACATACCTTTGATGTGTTTAGCTACTGGGTTTTCTATCTGATTTCTTTCTTTGTCTGTTTTGAGTATGTTTGCTATAGCCTAGCCTATCTTGTCTAATATAGGAGGACTTGCTTATATCAGTTCCTGTGTTGGTTTACATGACAGTTTGCTATGACCTCTATTCTATTATACCCCCAAATATCAATATTATGAGATTCTTGTTCTAAGACACTTTTACTGAGTATGTGGGGGACTGTGAAGGGACATTACAGTACAGAAGACAATAGGCAACAGTGTTAAATGTAATAGGCCTTCCCCTCCCCCCATAAGGAAGTTTTCATTGTCTTTGCAGTCTGGCCCTGCCCTGTCGCCAAGATTCAGAGTTCTCTTCTCTGTTTACACTCTTCCCTCTCGGTTCATACTCTCTCTTCTTCGTATCCTTTTTATTCCAGAGTACCTCAAATTCTCCAGCTTCTACATATGGCTTTTTCTTACTTTGGATAAAACAAAATTCCTGGTCATAGCGTCTTTTCTTCAGATCCGAGCACATCCAGAGGCCTGTGTCAGAGATGCGGCGGTGGGCCCCCTACTGGAGGCTCAGAGCAGGGGCTCCGCGTGGAGAAGGGTTCCCCCCAGGCCCTAGAGTTGTATTTTAAAAAGTCTTCCTACTACTTTCTTTGTATGTCCACACTTTTGCTTCTTTTATTTCATTTGTTTTATTTTTCACATAGTTGAAATCCTGCTCTGTACCCTCCTTTTATGACTTAATATTCTATCATGAGTATTTACTATATTCATATATGATCTTGGTAAACATTATTTTGCATTCACATTTATTTTCCTCTTTAAAAAGTCAATGATCAGTCCCAAGGGGTATAAGAAGGACATGCAAATTCCTGAATTCCCAACCACTGGACAGAGAACATTCAACAAAACGGCTGCATGACTTCGGCACGGACAGCTGAACAGAAAGGAGAATATTCAGAAAATCTGCTTGGGCAAAGCTGTCCCTTACCAAACTGTAACAGAGCCGTGGTTCTGGTGGGACAGAGAACTAGAACTGCCAGATTCAGATGCATCTGGGTATGTCTGGAGCATTTATGGGGAAGGGGCAGGCAGCAGTCTGTTGGCAGAAGGATGTAGGAACCCTTGGGAAAGGGTCCAGCCTGTGAATGTGGTTTACATCGTCCTTGCCCCACCTGAGAGGGAAGGGCTATAATGGAAAGTGAGTAAAAGCATGGCAAGTTCACTGAAATTTCTGTGGGAGTATCAAGCCATCTTCCTTTGTGTTCTCTGTAGTAGTGGCCCACAGAGGACAGGAAAGCGATGGTGGAAAGATCCTCCCTCCCTCCTTCCCAATGGTGGATAACCCTGGGAAACAGATTGAACACGGCTGCCTGAGTAACTGAACCAGGCAGCTGAACCAATCTATGTTTGTCTAGAAAAGGAGGGTCTGAAGAGTTGCCATGAGAACTGGCCATGACTTCAGTGTTCAGCCTGATCGAGTACCAGTCACCAGCTAACCAAAGGGCAAGAGAGATCAGAGTGCCAAAGTGGTAACTCAGCACTGCTTCCAGACCCTCAGCTTTGGAGGAGAGAGAGCCTACAGGGGCTGGTGGGCTCAGCCAGGTGTCTGCAGCCATCAGGTTCATAGGAAGGCTTGCAGCTCAGGTTAGAGACAGGAAAACCTTATGCTGAAGAGTAACTCATGCATAGAGGCCTAATAAGGGTCTGCATACATAGGTAAGGCTGTGAGGAAGCAGACAGGAAGGACTAAAGAAGTTGACCTTGTAACGAGACAATTAAGATCACCTGGAGTCTGGCTTTATTGGAAGCCTGCCATGTAATTAGTGCTGCTGCTCTTTTGACTCTCCCTTTCAGGCCCAGGAAGGTAACAACTTGATGTTACGAGCCCTCGAATGTTGTACGAATCCTCATATTTTCAAACACCCTTCCCATATCTTCATAAATTGTCCTTCTGTTAAATTATCTGTGAAATCAGTTATCCTGATATGAATATACCATCCATTTGCTGCTAGGACACTACTGATACAGTGCTGTTCTGTTGATGGCTCTGGGGAAGCCCCCTGGGACCCTGGCTCTCAGCAACCAGCTCTGGAGATAGCGGATGGGGATGAGGTGCAAATGGCGGACCCCTGCAGGGATGTGTGTGAGGAAGCACAACAGGTAAGGACAGACACTGTGGTTTCATCGTACTATTCAGAGGTCCCTGGTGGGAATGGAATCTGGCCGTGCATTCAGGCCTGACATGTTGGGATGGATAGAGATTAGATAGATCTGATTTGATCAGGGTGGGGTGGTGCTACTAGGAGGCTGAAAGGCTAAATAAAGTAAGACCATAGCCCAGGACCATGAATCACCCAGATCTTATTCCACTTGCTCTGTGGAGCAGAACGGAGCAGGAGGGCAGACTCAGGGAGGATGAGTGATTAAGTTTTGAGCCCATGAGGAAAGAGTAGGGTGGGATAGGTCGTACCTGGTCGGAGTGCCTGCACACCAGTAAGTCCCTCTACACATTTAGCAGAATAAATGAATATGCTTACAAAACAGCCTGCACACCAGTAAGTCCCTCTACAAATTTAGCAGAATAATGAATATGCTTACAAAACAGCATAGGGAGGACATTTTTCTTCACTGACTTTCAGAATATACTCACATGGAAGGAATGTTTGAGAGAGACAATACTGGAATTATTCAGAAGACACAAAGCATTGGGGAGGGTGGGCATGAGGAGTTTTAAAACAGATTTGTTATAAATTTAATAAGTGCTGGAAAGGTGACAGGAAGTAGAAAAGTTAATTAAACAAAACACCACCCTGGAGCACTAAATCTGGTTTTATTTATCCAGGCTTTCCTGGTACTTCCCTTAGTAAACTAAAGAATTTATAGACATTGGAAATTGAGTTTTTATTGTGTAAATTTAGAATGTGCAATCATGAAGACAGGACAGAAATAAAGTGGAGGGGAAATGGCTTAGGTATTGTTCCCCTAAATTCTCCAGGGCCTTTGCACATGCTGTTTCCCATGTCTGGAAACTTCTTCTCCTTCCTCATACCTGAAAGAAGATCAGGTTTTCTTGTTATGCTCTGATATAACTCTTGTACTTTTCCTTCAAAGACAGTATTAGCATGGAAGTCGTGCTTTCATGTGTTCATTTGATCAATGTACTGTCTTTCTTTTTAGCTGATAACCTCCATGAAGGCAAGGGCTGTGTTCTGATCACCATTGTTGCCCTAAAATCCAGTGTCTGACATCTGCCAGATGCTCAACAGGTATTTCACAGGTGACTGCCTGAAGAACTTTTAAAGCACGCCACGTTAAGACTGGCTTCCCAAGGAAAAGAAAGTGAAGCATAACATAATTCTAGTAACCCTGGGCCTATATTGCCTGAATTTCTCTGTGTAGTGACATTCTTCTGACACCACACTAGTGGAGTGGGAGCATGCAACAGCAGCATGGTAACTGTTGACATCAGGACTTGATAAGGAAGGGTAGTGAAGACTTTAATAAGGTAGAATCCTGCCGTCATAGCATGAGGGACAAATAACTCCTTTGATTCCCCCAAAACTGCCAAAAGACTCTCACTTAATTCAGATGTCTTAGGTCTTGAAGTGACTGCTATACCTATGCAAATATCATGGTGCCCAGAGATTGATCTGGAGAAGTTCTGAGGTGGTGAGCATATCTAACTGCACTGTGTTGATATTTTTCTCTGCTTTTTTGGTGTGAGGCTTTAGGCCGGTTATAATCAAGTTAATCATGAAAACAATGGCATTTGTATTTGGAAAGGAAGGCTATGCCTTGGCAGGGTTATATGTGAGAAAAGAAATACCAATGTTATTGGTCAGTGATGCTACAGGGTTGCTCAGTGTCGCCAATGGGGGATAAGTGGAACTATGATATGTTGGCTTCATAAAAGACATTTGCTACATACCTTCTGACTTATTTTTCATTCCTCCCATTCTCTTCCTTCCAGAACATTCAACGAGATCTACTGTCTTAACAGATTTTTAAGTGTATAGCACGGTATTGTTATCTATAGGCATGATGTTGAACAGATCTCTAGAGTTCTTCCATCATGCACAACTGAAATTTTATACATGTTGATTAATTAGCAACTTCCCTTTTCCCCCTCCCCCAGCCCCGGCAACCACCATTCTATTCTTTGCTTCTGAGTTTGACTACATTAGATAACGCATATATGTGGAATTATGAAGCATTTGTCCTTCGATGACTGGCTTATTTTACTTAGCATAATGCTGTAAGGTTCATCCATGTTGTCATATATTGCAGAATTTCCTTCATTTTAAAGGCTGAATAACATTCCATGGTATATATATTTCACATCTTCTTTATCCATGCATTCGTCAATGAACATTTAGGTTTGACCCACATCTTGGCTATTGTGAATACTGCTGCAGTGAACGTGGGAGTGCCAATATCTCTTGAGATCCTGATTTCAATTATTTTGGATAAATATGCATTAGTGAGATTGTTGAATCATGTGAAAGTACAACTCAATAGCAAAAAAAAAAAAGCCAAATAAGCTGATTTTTAAAAGGGCTAAAGACTTGAATAGACATTTCTCCAAAGAAGAGAATGTTTAGGCCTCTTATAATCAAGTTAATTGTAGCATTAATGTCAAAGGTCAACAGGTATATGAAAAGATGTTCAATATCACTAATCATCAGGGAAATGCACATCAAAACCATAATAAGATATTACCTTACACACGTTAGGGTGGCTAGTCTCAAGAAAACAGAAGACAACAAGTGTTGGTGAGGATGTGAAGAAATTAAAACCCCTTGTGCACTGTTGTGGGAATGCAAAATGGCACACCACTATAGAAAACGGTATGGAGGCTGATCAAAAAACTAAAAATAGAATTGCCGTATGATCTTTCCTCCTTTATTGCTCCATGAAACATGTATGTAATGGCTTAAGATCTAGCCATAGGCTCTTAGCAAAGGAAGGGAGACTGTTAATTCCCACAAGGATGAGGGCCACACTTGAGGGATGGTAGGGTGGTGGCTGGAAGAAGTCTTAAGATTTGTGAAGTGTCCATAATTCCCAACTCTGAGCTATTTAGTGAAAGAAAGAGAAAGAAATTTTTAGTTATCTCATTGCTATCTTAGGTGTCTGTTATCCTTACCCTCAGCTGAACCCAATTCCAATTAATACATTTGAGAATACTAAATTATTGGCAGGACACAGCTTTGGCTATGTTTATTCAAGAAGGATCTGAGTTTTGCCATAGGTCACTGGAATTGATTGGCTCAAATGGGGATTATCTGGAATGTGATGTAAACATGAAATATGCAGATGGGCCAGTGACTGGGGCTTACCTTTTAGGAACAGTTGACAGATAATAGATACTAGTGATGTGCAGGTGATTTATTTCTCTTTCTCAAAGGCTCAGTCTTTAGAAAAATCATGAGCAATGGGAACTTCTGTCCAACTTGACCTGTTTGGGACTTGTCCAGCGTTCTCTCCAAGGTTTCTGAAGATTCCTGGGGAGGAGCTTCTGTGTCATAGCTACCTTTGGGTACTCTTTCCTCTTCTTTTCTGGGAACCACCCTCCTGTTTTTCCTGGGCCCTCTCAGCATGGAACATGACTTTTCCTTCTTTGTTCCCTCAGACCATCTCTTAACCCGCTTTGCCTGAAGGTTTGTGGATAGTTGGATAGCTGATAAAGAGCCAGTTGCCCTGTTAACACTTAACGATGCAAAGAAACAGAGGAGCTGTGAAAGAACAGTTTTTTAAAAATTCAATTTTTGATTTTTTTGTTTTTTCAACAATTGTTTTTATTGTATTAAAACACATAGAATATGATATTTGCCACTTTAACATGTACAATTTTATGTACACATTTTACATGGACAAATCAGTGGCGTCAATTATGTTCATAATGTTGGGCAGCCATTACAATTTTTAAACTTTTGATTTCCTAAATCAAATTCTTATGCAGAGTCCTCCTCCCTCACCCAGAGGGGTTATTATCCTTGTGAGATCATAAGTTATGTTCATTCAAATAAATGGAATTCAGGAACTGGAAAAATCCCAATGCTTCCCTCTGATACAATTTAAGCTGCTCCCATTTCTCCAGATGTCCTTGGTGAAACCCACTGAGCTGAGGATGGATTGGGTGTTGACGGTACAGTCTGGAGTCTAATACTCAACTGGGGTGCAGATACTTGAGGGAGAGGATAGCTATATCGTCTTGCTCCTGGCTCAGCCTTTAGCCCTATCACTCACTGAATGGTTGAGCAGGCAGTTCTGGACTAATAGAGATCAGGAAGAGAACACCCTGGGTTGGAGGAGTGCTAGAAGCTTCAGCCAGGAGGGATCTTGGGAATAAGTATGGGCTAAGGGGAATGTGTGTGTGTGTGTGTGTGTGTGTGTGTGTATGCATATGCATATGCAATGGAGGAAGACTGCACCTCTGGGAGATGGAGGTCACAGCCTCATCTGTGAGCTCTATTCTGCCCACCACCCTCTACCTCCTCCCAAATTCTAGAGGGCCATGGTCATGTTAGAATTTGACATTTGAATTTCAAGTTATAAGGTAAAAGATGAAGGGAGTTGAAGGCAGATGATTTGGGGAGTTTGGACAATGGGTTAAATGAGCAAGGCTGTCTGAGGCTGTGACTTCCACTGTACAAGTGCAGCATCTCACCAGAATGGCATAATGGCTGATGGTGGAGTTTTGGAGAGTATGAAAGACACACAGATGTGGGAATGAGCTAGCGGTAAACTGGAGTAATAGTCTAGGATTATCTTGTACAGAGTCCTGGAGGGAAGGCAGAGACAACAGGCCAATCTTAGATTGGGGAAGGGGACTGCTAATTGCCAAACTTCCAGTTAACTACAGAGACCATGTGCCTATGAGCACACGGGCATGTCCTGGGGAGTGTCAGCCTCCCGCCTACTGAAAAAGTGTTCTGTGGTCATATGCTGCTGGCCCAAGCCTCAAACACCCACTCACTGACCCTCCTACATTGTGCAGACAGGAATGACTGAGGGCCTCTAAGCCCAGTGTCTCCAGTCACCCCAAGACTCAATGCAGTACTACTCCTCAGCTCTCCCCTCTCCCTCTGCTTCCTGTCACAACAGCTCCATTTCTGGCCCCAAGTGCATGTGCTGTGGGCCTAGGGCTCAGCTCTCATTCACATTAATTTTCAAAGTACTCAGGTTTGACTCTCGCTTTTCTAGAAACCCATTTCAGAAAGAAGGAAACAGCTGTTAACTGTAAAGGGCACTGTTCTGCCCACTGCCCATCTCCAGCTTGCTCAGGGCTGATTGATGACCTGAGACATAAATTCCTGGGGGAAGGATTTGAACTTCAAATTGGAATGAGAGGCAGGCGGTGGGGGGAGGGTGTCCACCATTATGCCATAGCATCAGCAGGGGCCACAATACCCTTCTGTGTCCAGAGCCAGGAGCACTGTCCTGGGCATTCTTCTTCCAGCCACCACGTACTCCTGCGGGACCTATTTCTGCATGTTGTCAGACCATATGCCATAATTTCAGTCCACTCAGTTAGTAGAAGTCTCTAGGGCACTTTGGTTTGAAAACTAGATACATTTGATGAGGTTCTGCTAAAGCACTCAGAAGCAGAGCCCCTTTCTTATTGTCTCCCAGCGGGGTGTGTGTGAGTGTGTGTGTGAGATTTTAGCTTCTGTAGCCCAGGATACCATAAAAGGAGACTGAGAAATTGGGTGTTTGGAGGCTGCCAGGCCATCTTAGATGTGTGTGTACATTATCACACGAAGAAGAGCATTAGTCGGGGTGGAGGGTGGAATAAAGGTCCCAAACACTTCTGGGCTGCCAAAAGTGTTCAAATAATGCCCACACCCCCATGGTATTAGGAATCAGAGCACTGTTGGAGGTAGCTCACAGCTCAGATCCCAGTGCTCTCCAGGGTGTTCCAGTCTGAATGACTGGAGCACGGGGCAGATGCGAGGAGAGGAGGAGAGGACTCAGGATGTCTGCCACTGGTGGCAGAAGGCTGGCAGTGCTGCCAGGGATGGGGAGGTTGTTCTTCTCAATGAAGCAATGGTAGGGATGGGTTAAATCAGTGATCTTCAAAGTGAGCATGTGGGATGATTCATTGGCATGTAAAAGGAAAATTAAAACCTTCATTTATGGCACAAAGACAAAACTCAGGTCAGTGGAACAGAATAGAGAACCCAGAAATGGACCTAAAAATATATGGCCAACTAATCTTTGACAAAGCAGGAAAGAATATCCAATAGAATAAAGACAGTCTTTTCAACAAGTGGTGCTGGGAAAACTGGACAATGACATGCAGAAAATGAACCTGGACCACTTTCTTATACAATACACAAACTCAAAATGGATGAAAGACCTAAACATAAGATAGGAAGCCATCAAAATCCTCAAGAAGAAAGCAGGCAAAAACCTCTTTGATCTTGGCTGCAGCAACTTCTTATTCAACACGTCTCGAGAGGTAAGAGAAACAAAAGCAAAAATGAACTTTTGGGACCTCATCAAAATAAAAAGCTTCGTCACAGCAAAGGAAACAATCAGCAAAACTAAAAGGCAACTGATGGGATGGGAGAAAATATTTGCAAATGGCATATCAGGTAAAGGGTTAGTATCTACAAATCTATAAAGAACTTCTCAAACTCAACACCCAAAAAAAAATAATCCAGTGAAGAAATGGGCAAAAGACATGAATAGACACTTCTCCAAAGAAGACAACCATACTGCCAACAGAAACATGAAAAAATGCTCAACATCACTCATTATTAGGGAAATACAAATCAAAACCACAGTGAGATGCTACCTCACACCTGTCAGAATGGCTAACATGGACAACTCAGGTAACAACAGATGTTGGCAACAATGCGGAGAAAGAGGAACCCTTTTGCA